CCCCCCCAGGACCAAGCTGGGAGAGTGAGACTCTCGGCCCCTCAGAGCCAGCACAGGGTGGGCCCATGGGAGCCTGGCTCCCGGCCTGACTCAGCAGGTGACTCCCCAGCCTCAGCTTCCCCATTAAGGGTGGGCTTGGGGTGCAGTGAGAGAATCTGAGCCCCCCTGTGACTGTGGTGTTACCTTCCAAGGGCTGGATGCAGCCCCTGACTCTCTTCAAAGATGGAAAGGGCACCTGGTGGGGTCAGGTGTGAGCCAGGATGAGAGTGCACACTTGTCACTGTCTGAATGGCTTCCTTCCATGGGTCTGCCCAACCTCAGCCTCGGCCCCTGTGAGTGCAGGTGAACCTCAGAGTAGATGCACACACAAGCACTCACATATGTGCACATGCCTCTCCCACAACACAGAACACCACAGCTTGAGCCTGGAGCCCGGCCCTACTCTCCCCTGCTCCCTCCTGCAGCACTACTGGGGGTTCCCCTCTGTGTGTGCCATGGGGGGGGGCGGGGCGGGGGGGGAGGTATCAATGCAAATGGGCCAGTGGGAACACGTCCTGGTGTCCTCTCTGTCCAGGTTACAGAACCATCACTGTGCGGAAGTTCATGCAGGTAGGGAGGTTGTGGGATGGCTGTCTCTGGACATTTGTTTGTTCCTGGGACCCAAGGGTTGTGTCCCCAAAGCACCTGACCCAGAATTGAGCTGGTGTAACAGCACAGTTGGAGGGTGCCCTGGGTGGTACTGCAGGCCGGTTCGGCACCCTTCTCTGAGCTGTGTATGTGGCTCTCTGTGTCCCTCTGAGCCCCAGCGTCCATTTCTGGGCCTGGGTTTGCTCACATTTAATGGGGTCTGTCCACATTAGGTTTGACCAGCAGGGATGGCTTATCCTGGAGCCTGTTCCACACGTCCTCTAGGGAGGTCCAGGCATGGGAGGGCTTTCCCCCTGACCCTTGTTGGCACAGCTTCACCCGACACCAGTGTCTGTCCGCAGGTGATGGGCCTGGGCCTATCCAGTGTTTTTGCCCTGTGTTTGGGTCACACCTCGAGCTTCTGTAAGTCTGTGCTCTTTGCATCGGCCTCCATCGGCCTGCAGACCTTCAACCACAGGTAAGGGCCCCATGCCCTGCCCACCAGAGCAGCCCATCTGCCGTTGGGTGCCTCTGGCACTGCAAGTTCTGGGTTCTCAGAGCTCGGGGTGTGTGGAGGGCAGGCAAGGGGTAGGTGTCCCCACACATGAGCCATGGAGGTAAAGGGTTGTCTGGCTATCAGCCAGCTTGGACCTGGGCCATTTGGAGAAACAAATACCGTGCTGGGGGAGGGGCTGGGAGAGGAGGCACCAATCTCCAAGTAGCTTCTTCTGTGTCAACCTTGAGGAGCCAGTTCTGTCCATGTCCATCCTGGGGTTCCCAGTCCTCCCCAGTGCCCAGCATCAACCCGGTTGTGGTTTCACCTCCCCCATCAGAGAAACTTCACGGGGAGTTGTTTTGGAAATTGGCCATTAAAGGTCGTTTTTCAAATGTGTGGACAGCATTTGACAAGCTTGCCTTCCTGGTTGTTTCATCCTGGCAGTGGGTCCCTGCACTGTGTCACCACCAACATGGGAGAGCAGGGGTTTGGCTCAGATGGCCCAAGTGTAGCCAAAGCACCCTGGTTGGGCTGGGCCCCAAGCACCCCCTTGATGGTCTCGGCTCCACGTGCTCAGAGGACTGATGGTTTTGTGGGGCGGCCGCTGCCCTGTGGTCACTTGCCCATGTCTTTCCTCTTCCCCACAGTGGCATTTCTGTTAACATCCAGGACCTGGCCCCATCCTGCGCTGGCGTTCTCTTTGGTGAGGACCCCAGCCCCTTCGTGAATACAAAGCATCTGCCCCCAGCCTGGGCACTGCTCGCCCAGCCTCCTGATGCCCGCCCCAAGCCCTCAGGGGCTGCTCCCAGGTGGGATGCCACGGGAGGGGCACAGTGGGACTCCTCTGAGCGCCCTCCTTCTCGTTCACAGGTGTGGCCAACACAGCTGGGGCGTTGGCAGGTGAGAGGCCAGCTGGGACCCCCTGCCTGAGGTGCCTGAGGTGCCTCCTGGCTGCCCCGCCCCTGTGTCCTCCCACTACCCTCGGGCTGCAGGGTGGGGTGTGGCACCCTTCAGGGGGGTCCAACAGTATCCCAGACCTCAGAGTTAGACCAGGGAGAGAATAGAACTGCTTTCCATAGTGTTCACCTCCCCTCATCCCCCACTGTAGTGTTCACCTCCCCATCCCCCCACTGTAGTGTTCACCTCCCCCATCCCCCCACTGTAGTATCCACCTTCCCCATTCCCCACTGTAGTGTTCACCTCCCCATCCCCCCACTGTAGTATCCACCTCCCCCATCCCCCCACTGTAGTATCCACCTTCCCCATTCCCCACTGTAGTATCCACCTTCCCCATTCCCCACTGTAGTATCCACCTTCCCCATTCCCCACTGTAGTGTTCACCTCCCCCATCCCCCCACTGTAGTATCCACCTTCCCCATTCCCCACTGTAGTGTTCACCTCCCCATCCCCCCACTGTAGTATCCACCTCCCCCATCCCCCCACTGTAGTATCCACCTTCCCCATTCCCCACTGTAGTATCCACCTTCCCCATTCCCCACTGTAGTATCCACCTTCCCCATTCCCCACTGTAGTGTTCACCTCCCCCATCCCCCCACTGTAGTATCCACCTTCCCCATTCCCCACTGTAGTGTTCACCTCCCCATCCCCCCACTGTAGTATCCACCTCCCCCATCCCCCCACTGTAGTATCCACCTTCCCCATTCCCCACTGTAGTATCCACCTTCCCCATTCCCCACTGTAGTATCCACCTTCCCCATTCCCCACTGTAGTGTTCACCTCCCCCATCCCCCCACTGTAGTATCCACCTTCCCCATTCCCCACTGTAGTGTTCACCTCCCCATCCCCCCACTGTAGTATCCACCTCCCCCATCCCCCCACTGTAGTATCCACCTTCCCCATTCCCCACTGTAGTATCCACCTTCCCCATTCCCCACTGTAGTATCCACCTTCCCCATTCCCCACTGTAGTGTTCACCTCCCCCATCCCCCCACTGTAGTATCCACCTCCCCCATCCCCCCACTGTAGTATCCACCTTCCCCATTCCCCACTGTAGTATCCACCTTCCCCATTCCCCACTGTAGTATCCACCTTCCCCATTCCCCACTGTAGTGTTCACCTCCCCCATCCCCTCACTGTAGTGTTCATCTCCCTCCATCCCCCACCGTAGTGTTCACCTTCCCCCCCAGCCCCTACCCATAGAGATGAGCCAAATCCCCAAGGTTCCTGGTCCCCACAGGTTAAAGTGCCTGGATGACAATGACAGCTCATTCCTTAGCCCAGCCCCTCCTGCTGCCCTGTGCCCTGTGAAGGACGCAGAGGGACCTGGGATGGGTGATTTCCTGGATGGCTTGAGCTCGCTGCCCCTCTGAGACTGAGGCTGGCCCTCAGACAACTGAATTTGGCTTCTCTCTCTCAGGCCCCCACCGGGCCTCTCCTCCAGGGATCCCCACCCCAGTTCCTCTCCTCCAAATTGTTCCGGGGAGTGCCTGTCACTGAGCCTGCCTGTCACCTCTCTTGGGTACAGGTGTTGTGGGCGTGGGCCTGGGTGGTTACCTGATCGAGACCACGGGCTCCTGGACGTCCTTGTTCAACCTGGTGGCCGCCATCAGCAGCCTGGGGCTGTGCACCTTCCTGATGTTTGGAAAGGCCCAGAGGGTGGACCTGAGCCCCAGCCACGAGGACCTCTAGCTGCCCGACCCCAAGTCCCCCAAGGACCCGCACCATCAGCCTCGGTGCAAGGGGCTCCATTTAAGAGCCTCTTGCTCTTGACTCTAGGCTTGTGACCGAGGAGAGTGAGCCTTGGTGGAGTGGGAAGGTGGGGCCAGTGCAGGTGCCCAGCCCTGGCTGTGCCTCAGTTTCCCCTCTGCCAGTGGGGCACTGTGCCCCTCTCAGCATTGGTGGGACTCTCATGGGTGACTAGAGTTAGTGTAGAGTCAGACATGACCCTGCCACAGGCTTGCTTGTGAATGGTGCCTGTCGCAGAGGGCCTGGACTGCAGTCCACACAAAACCTGCTTTGCTTTTTCTCAGCACTTGGGGCTGGATCATCCTCTGTGGTGGGAATTCATTGCTATGCATTGTGGGGTGTTCAGCAGTGTCCCTGGCCCCCAACACTGTCTCTTGCTATCACCAAGTGTCCCTAGGGCAGCTGCCCCTGGCAAGGATCTAGAGGAAGGCTGTTGGGTGGGGTGGGCAGTGAGCACCAGCCCTTTGGCCATTTGGGGGGACCCCATCCATGGCATCCCCCTCCCATGGATCCCTGGACACTAGCAATGTGCTCTGCTCCCCTGGCACCTGGTGACCACTGTGAGGGGAGCCTGGGCACCTCTGCCTGCCTCAGACGTTCCCTAGAACCAGATGACCCTGCTTTCCCTTTATGACAGAGGAGCCATTGTCTCATGAATAATAGGTGTTGCCAGATGTATGTGGAGAGAAAAAATATACAAAAATGTGGGAAACCATACCAAAGCCATACTTAAATGATGACTGTTAATTTATTTAAAAGAAGACTATTACTTTACAAGCATATTTTTTAAAACATAAATACTTGTTAAAGATTTATTGAACTCAGCCTGGCTGGTGTGGCTCAGCGGTTGAACATCAACCTAGGATCTAGGAGATGGCAGTTGGGTTCCTGGTCCGGGTACACGCCTGGGGTGCGGGCTTGATCCCCAGCAGGGGGCATGCAGGAGGCAGCTGATCCATGACTCATTGATATTTCTCTCTCCCTCTCCCTTCCTCTCTCTCAATCAATAAAATAAATAAAATAAAAATAAAAATATTTATTGAACTCATTCAAGAGGAAACCAGTTAAACGTTACAAATAGGTCAAAGGAAAATCCCAGGAGCAGACAGTTAAAGACAGGGCACTGAATGTCAGCACTGGGCCGGGCCTGCTCGTCCGTGCATGGGAATAGGAGACACTGCTACCAGCTCCCCCAGACCCCAGCAGCCCCGGCCGCAGTCACACAACCCAGGCCCCAGGCCCTGCGGGGACGTCTCGTGGTTTCTAATTCAGCACAAACTTCCCCCACAGTCTCCCCACTTTTGATCAGAAAGAATCTGAAAGGAAGATTCTTTTTGAAATTTTTTAAAAATGTTTTTATTGATATTTAGAGAGAAAGGGAGAGGGATAGAGAGATAGAAACATCGACGGGAGAGAGATATCAACTGGCTGCCTCCTGCATACCCCCACTGGGGATGGAGCCCCCAACCCTGACCGGGAATTGAACTGGTAACCTTCTGTTTCATAGGTCCATGCTCAACCACTGAGCCACACTGGCCAGGCTGAAAGGAAGATTCTTTTTTTTTTTTTTTAAGATATATCTTTATTGATTTCAGAGGGAGGAAAGGAGAGGGAGAGAGAAAGAGATAGAAACATCAATGATGAGAGAGTCATTGATCGGCTGCCTCCTGCACGCCCCCAACTGGGGATCGAACCCACAACCCGGGCATGTGCCCTGACCGGGAATCGAACCCCGACCGCTGAGCCACGCCCAGCCGGGCTGAAGGGAAGGTTCTTGATCACGAAATGAGTCTGGCTTGGCCTGTTTGCAGAGGTGCAGTAAGAATGTTAATTTCCCATGAAGGCCTTTTGTTTGCTCCACCGGAGGTTTCCTTGACAACCTCAAGTGCTTCCACTTCTGTGACCTGCTGTCCTGAGTCTGGAGCCCAGTCTAGGAAACTCCCCAGGACACACGACATAAGGGCCACCATCGCGACCCTGTGTGAGTGTGCAGCTCAGTGCTCCGGTGCATTCTCACTGCTGTGCGGCCACCACCAGGCCTTTCATCTTCCCAAAATGGCTCTGTCCCCATTAAACACTCGCCCCCCAGGCACTGGCACCCACCATTCTACTCTCTGATTTTGACAACTCTAAGCACCTCCTATAAGTGGTCTTCTTGTGACTGGTTCAGGTCACTGAGCACGATGTTCTCTAGGTCCATCCATGTTGTCGCAGGTGTCAGGGCTTCCTTCCTTCCTATGGCTGAAGATGGCCCGCATTGTGCCTATCACTTACCCAAGGAAACTTGGGTCCTCCCGCCCCATGGCTTTTGTGAATTGCACAGCTGTGAACCTGGGTGTGCAATCAACATTTTTGTTTTTAATCCACAACAAACTAAACTCTTTGAGAGAGGCAGCCCTCCCCATGGGAACCCAGAGCCCCTGGAGGGGTTCAGGACCCCAGAGGTGATTGGTGGGTTCTATGCGGAAGGGGAACCAAAGGCACATGTAGAAACTGTGGTCCCAGGCCTCCTGTCCCCACGTCTGGTCCACTTCTGTCACTTCCTCACAGGACAGAGGGAAGAAACTGCATATGGGGTTTAGGGGTATAGGGCCAGCACAGCAGACAGGCCCAGCCTCCTGCCCTCAAGGCCAGTTTGGTCCAGAATGTCACCCTGCAGCTGGATGGGGTCTCCCTAACCCTCTCCAGGCTGATCTTAGACCCTGGGCCAGGGCTCTGTGGAGTCTGGGGGAGTGTTTGCCAGTGGGGAGGGTGCTGGTAACAGAGGGGTGTTCCGTCTGTGGAGGACAGCCCCACCCGCTGGCCCCGCCTACCTGTGTACAATCTGGTGCAGTCAGGCTCAGACATACCCCCACCTCTGGCAGCCCTGGCAGGATCCCAGCAGTCAGTGGGGACCCTGAGTGCAGGCGTTGATGTCAGATAAAGCAGCAGGGTCCCAACACCAAACCCAAACCCTGCCTGTCCCTCAGGTCTGGAATGAGGGGCCCTGCCGCCTGGGGCCCTGTGCTGGTGAACACACCTGGAGGCGCCTCTGGAGGGCAAGGCTGTCACCCTGCAGCTGACCAACAGAGGGCGCCATCCAACAGGGCTGAAACCACTCCTGCTCTGGCCCCAGGCCCCAGACTCCTCCCAGGACCTTTGGGAGCTGCCCAAGTTAGTGGGAGCTGATGCCCCCTAGCCCCGCAGGAAGGCAACAGGGAGGAGGTGGTCGAGGCTCGGGGCACCTCTCAGGCGATGGTGGAGTCATGGCCAGGTCGTGTGGGGAGGGAGGGCGCGTGGCTAGACACCTAAATAAGGAGAGGGACAGGAAGGGCCGGGCCTGGGGTGGTCTCCTTTTTCCCTTCCCCAGGGTGGGTCCTCAGGGGTGGGGCTGTCCCCCAAGGCAGCCAGAAAGGGGTGGCTGTGCTCAGAGCTGCTTCTTGCCGATGACCCTCCAGCACCAGGACTGTACCTGGTCCAGGCTCCCCCGAGGTCCTGTCCCCAGACCCCTATAGCCCCATGCAGACCTCCTGGGTGGCCTCCCCCAATCTCCTGCTCACATGTAGGGTTGTACCCTCCTAGTCACTGTGACACTTTTCTGTCCTTACTTTAACTGAGGCTCTTTAACGACCACTTAATATTCGTAATTAGCATGTTAATGGCCCTTCCATCTTTCTGGGCTGCCCTCCCTGCCCCCCCCCCATTTCTGGCTTTGTCTTTCAGCTCTGGGACTGCAGTGCCCTGGGTGTCCCCAGCTGCCCCCTGAGGACTTCTGCTTTTCTGTCCCCTTGGGCGCTTGTTCCCCAGAGCTGGTAGGACATGCAGGGACCACCTGGGGGTGCAGATGCCCTTGGCTGGGATGCCTCTCTGGACCATGGACAGGGTCTGACCCCCTGTCTGCAGCAGAGTCCCATCCAGCTGGTTCCTGCAAAGGGGGACGTGGGCTGTGCGTTGGGTACACTTTTGACCAGGATTCACTTTATTATGTTTAATTGAAAAGCGTTGAAGTTGCAGCATGAATATTCAATGCGGTGGCTGCTGGTGATTGCTGGATCCACCCCAGCACAGGGCCGTCAAAAAGGTGAGGAAGCTATTAATTGAAATAGCTTCATTAATTAGTAATTAAGAGCAGGGAAATGAGTGTGTCACAGGTTGTATTTCAGTGGATGTCCTTCCTGTGTTATAAAGCCTTTAATTAAAGGATGTGCATTTTAATTAAAGGCAATCTTGGCCCTTTGGCCTTTGGAATTCAAAAGAAGCTCCCAACTTTGAAAGAAGCTGGTGGGGAGGAGGGCTGCAGGCATGCCCCAGAAGCACATCTGCAGAGGATACTGAGGTCCTGGTCCCCAAATTCTTCCCCTTGAGAGGTGGAGACTGGTCTCCCCCTGAATCTGGGTGGGCTTGTGACTGCTCGGAGACCAGAATATCACTCCTGGGGCAGGTTAGCTTCCACCTGGCTATCCTGGGCACCCCAATGCCAGACTATGAGGAAGCCCAGTCAAGCCTCTAGGGAGACATGAGGAGCCCAGGTGCACGAAGCCAGGGAGAGGCCATCTGCTCACTGCACGAGGGACCCCGAGACAGAATGCCGGGTGAGTCCTCCCCAAATGCTTGGCCTACAGAGACCGGCTGAAAGAATACACAGACAGGCAGACAGGAAAGAACAGCCTTTAGGTGATCTGTTAGGCAGAACAGCAATGGATCAGAGCCGGTGAGAAGATACCTTCAGGATCAAGGGCTTAATGAGAGGGGCACCCCGACCAGGTGGGTGCCGGAGTAGGTGTTTGAGTCAGTCTGGGACAGGCTGGAGGGAGAACAGGGGTTGTTAGTTTGGGGAGAACAGCCCCAGGAAGGACCCCTTGGTAGCGGGGGCACTTGGAGTGAAGTGCTGGGCGGTGGCTACGCCAGCATGTCAGCAGGAGCAACTGGCTCTGGTCAGCACCACCTTCAGAGGGTCCCCGACCACTTTGCAGCTATCTATTCCTGGCTTGTGGTTGTCACTCAGAGAGAATTTCACTGAAACCAACTCCCTACCTGCTCAAATACAGCGTCCTGCCTCTGCCCAGCTGCACAGGGGACCTGGGAGCTACTTTAGGAAAGAGCCAGGACAGTGTCAACGGCAGAGATGCCACTGAACGTGCCAGGGACGTGCAGCTTGAAATACAACCTGTCCCATCAAACCATTTACTGTGTAGCATTACCTGCCAGCTTGCACACCTGTGTGGTTCAAGTGCTCCCCTCCCTCTGGCCCGGAGGACCTTCAGCATCCAGGCTTGGAA